CTGCCCTCCCCAGAGAGCCCGCCCACCAGGCCCGGTCCAGTGTCCGCCTCGCCCAGCCAGGGGCGCCCCGGGAGGAGGGGGTCCGAGAGCGAGCTCAGCGGGGCGGGGCCGGGGCGGGGCCGGTGACCTGTGACCCTCCCCGCCTGCCAGCTGCTTCTCCACGGACACGCTGTGGATCTCGGGCTCGCGCTGCCAGGTGGCCATCCACTGGAGGGCGCTGGTCGGGGGCCTGGCGGGCGCCGCGGCACTGCTGCTGCTGCTGCTGCTCGGTCTGGGCCTCCTGGTCGCGCGCTCGCGGCGCCACAAGAGGTGAGAGCCTGGCGACCCCGGCGGGGACCCGCAGGGGTGGGCGGCGCGCGCGTCCCGGGCCTGACAGCGCGGGACTCCGTCCGACCCAGGTCGTGGACCGAGGACCGGGAATGGACCGAGAGCTGGGATGCAGACACCTTCGGGACCTTTTCCAATTTGGACCTCGACGACCCTGAGCCAGGTGAGGTGGCGACCTTCCTGGGCCTGGCCGGGCGTCTGCTCAGAGCGAGGGGGCTGCCAACGCCGCTTCCCCGCCCGCCTGGGCCCTGGTGTTCTGCAGGGCCCGGCGCCCCTTGGGACCCCGCTCCCCTCACTCTGACCCCCGCCCTGCCCTCCCCTCCTATAGCCAGGCCTGAAAACATGAAGGTCACCTTGGAGAACGTGGATACCAGTATGAAGGTGAGGGACCTAAGGAGCCACACGGAGGAACCCTGGGCTCCGCTCGGGATGCTCCCCCGTCTCTCAGGGGCGGGGGGCTCCGTTCCCACCTGGAGGCCCTAGTAGGGCTGGCCAGGCGTCCTCACGCCCCTTTCACAGGAATCCTCTGGCAGGTGCAGATCCAAAGGCCTCACGTGTCCTCGTCCATATGAGCCCTGTCGGGACCTCTCCGCCTTCCCTCCACCCTGGCCTGGGACAGCTAGAGGGAACGGCCAGCACTGTGCCCATCTTGAGCGGTCATCTGAGGACGGGTGCCGCCTGGACTTCTGGTGTCCTGGAGTAAAAGAGGACCGCCCTTGGGACACCCCCACTCCCCCTGTCCTAACTTTGCTGAAACCCACCTGGTTCTCGGTGCAATTCAAATCCAGACTCTGGCACTGGGGAGCTTGGACAAGTCCGTTCACTTCCATGCCTTGCTTCCCTCAGCCGTCCAATGGGTATAAACACTGTCCTGAGACTTTATGCAGCTGTTGTGAAAACCAGAAGGTGGACTTGGGTCAAGTCTCTGTTCCAATCCAGCCTCTGGTCTCAGGCCTTCTCCCCACATTGTCCCTCCTGATCCAACTCCCCACCCTCTGCTCTGTCCTTGTTTTCCTCTTTACTCCCTGACAACCATCTCCCCATCCCCTCTCCAACCAGTAGCCGCCCTACAGCCCCACCACTGCCACCCCCTGCTGGGTGGAACCCCCTGCTGGGTCCTCTGCTGTCTGTCCTTAAATCCCCGCCCCCTCCTAACCCATTCCTTAAATCACCCTAACTCTAGCCAGACCTCAGCCCCAGTTCCCAGGTGTTCCCTCTTCCCCATCCTTGCTCTCTGAGCCCCAAACTCTTCCTTTCCCATCCCTGTGCCCCATCCCTGGTGTCTCCACCCTCTCCCCAAACCATAGTTCCTAGTTAAGAGCAAGCCTCCCTGGTTCTTAGGGCCCCCCAGCAGGCTCTCCCCAAGTCCTAATCCCCTTCATTCTAGTCTCACCTTTCTGCTCACCCTTAGCTGACTATCCTAGGTCCCAGGTGGGGAGGGGCTGGGGCTGGGGGTAGAGTTTCCCACGGTCCCCCAGAATGAGGTGAAGCAGGTCCTGAGGTCAAGAAATGGTCTCAGCCCCCTCCCCTCTTTTCTCTAATCCTTGCTCCCCTCCCTTATTGCCCCCCTCCCTCCTAGCCTTTCCCCACACCCTTCCCCTTCCCCCAGGAGGTGCGCCATTCCCGTATATCTCCCAGAAGATAATATTTAGAGGTAGGAAGTTGGCAGGTCTCCGATTCTCTGATGCAAACACAATATAGTATTGATTGTAAAAGAAATTGCTGGGTGTTGTACTCTTTGAAGTGTGTCATCCCCTGCCCTACCCCAGTCCACTAGGGGTCCCTGAATTCCTTGTAGTGAACCTCAAGAAGGGGTGGGGGAGGGTGCATTCTCTTAGGGAGTGGGTGTGGCCTAGGCCAGCAGCAGGTGCAGTTCTGTTGGGATCTATCGCTGGTGCCCTTCAATGTGGAGAGCTTAGGGCAGGGAGATGGAGTGGCTCTGGCTGGGTCTGCCTGAGCCCACTGACAGTGGCATGAATGGGTGAAGCTGGCCTCTCCCCAGACCTTTCACCTCCCAAAGCCAGGTTCCAAATATACATCCCCGTATACACTGGCCTGCCTTGTTCCTCATCTGCCAGACCCGATGGGAGCAAAGGATGGTCAGAGAGCACCTGAGGCTTTGGCTGAGAGTGAGGTTCTTTGGGGGAGGGTGCATGAGAGGCTCTTGAGACCTTCTGGGTAGGAGAGGGGCTGGACAGTAGTCTCCCTCCTCTCAGGCTCTGGCGAGGGGTGGATTTCAGGACCATAAACCCTCAGGTGTAAATGGGGCCCTACCCTGGAGAAGGGCTGAGAGTCAGGGCTTGGGGTTGCGAATGGGAGGTGAGGAAGGTGGGTGCTGGGGAGGAGGGCTGAAGAACGAAGGGCTAGGGGTCCTTAGCTCTTCCTGCTGCTGGCTGCCTCTGCCAGGATTCTCTCACCCCTCCCTCCGGAGCCAACCTTTCCCTGGCATTTCCTGGCCCTGAGCTCGCCATCTGACTCCCCCTCCAACCTCCTGTGGCGCCTTCTGGCCCTGCCCTGCTGTGTGACAGTGGCTTGGCTGGAAAGACCCTGGCTCTGGACGCCCAGCTCTCCAGCAGCGAGAGGAGAGGAAGATGAACTATTTGCTCTTTGGTCAACTCTCTAAGCCAGCCAGCCATCGTCCCCCCTTCCCATACCCCAATCCTGGGCTAGGTGCTGCGGCCCCCTCCCCACCAAGGCAAAGACCTCTATCTAAGCCCTTTTTAGAGCTGAATCCTGGGAGGCTCCCACTTCTGGATTTCTGGTGTGTTAAGTTCTGAGCACCCCAGTTTGTAAAGGGCCATGTGAAGGCCCGAAACCTGTCCCTGGAGTCCCCACATAGATTAACCTGCCATTGAATGCTTTCTAATCATTAACCAGGGATGTGGGTCATCTTGCGGAGTTCCGTGGAAAGTGGATTACCTCCACCCCAAGGAGGGGCAGTCTCTCTTAAGAGCTTGGGGACATGAGTCACAGGAGTCATGCCCCATTGGTCACGTTTGACTGCCTTTCTTGGAAGGCCCTGGACCGATTGTGTAAAGCCCATTCCGGGTCCCGTCCTCACTTCCTTCTGTAGTCCCACTTGTCACTGTGGGACGAACCATGTATTTGTGGCAGCTCCCTTGGTTCCGTGCCTCATTTATCTGACCTCCCTGTGTGACCCCTCAGGTGCCATTGTGACTTCTTGCGGATGACCTCCCTCACCCAGATGATGTCTGTACCTTTGTCCCTTTTCGGACTGAATAAATGTTCTCTTTAAGTTCCGTTAGAGACTGAGGTCTCCTTTATACCTGAAAACGCTCGTGACAAGAAAAGATCGTGCCATCAGGGAGTGCTGACCTCGGGCTCTCAGCCCTGGTCCTCAGTGCTGTGATGCCGCCAGGCGAATCCCCACTGCCCCCCACTCCCTGGTGGACCCTGGCTGAGCAGCAAGTTGCTGGTCTCCCCTCTGTCTCTTGCGGGGGAAGAGGGCTGCCAAAAGATGGGGACCCCTTGATGTGACTTCCTCCTGCCTTTAGGGGTGCTAAAGATCACATTGGGGATGCGTGGGCACAGAGGGGGTGCAGTGTGTAGTGAGTGGCCTACAGAAAGATTCCTGATAGACTGAGGGGCTGGGTAGGGGGCTGCACTCCTACCCGCTACCTTCCCGGCTGCCCCTGCAGGAAGAGAGGGGTCTTTTGCTTGCCTGGATGTTGGGCTCCATCGATCTCCCCAGAGGGTGGGTCTTGGCATCCCACAGAGGGAGACATCGCTTAGGTCCAGGGTTGGCACACTTTTGAGATGGACGAGCCAAGTCTACCCCTCACAACAATTCACAATTTTTTTTTTTGAGATCACCACTACCTGAATCCGATCCTTTAAAACTGTTCCGTTTTGCTTCAGAGCCACATGTGCACCCCGGCGGGGCTGAGGCTACCTTGTGAGGCACAGTTTACCACCCTTGATCTAAGCGGTCAGTTCCCCAGGCAGAGAGAAAAGGCCTTGGGACTTCCTCATGCCTCCCCCTTTGCTTTGGGGAGGCGGGGCAGGGGCCAGGGAACCCCCTCCCCGAGTTAGAGTTGGGTGAAGGCTTGAGGCGTTTCTTGATGGTTTTTTGGGTGGGAAGCCACTGTGGACTCCCTCTGACTTTCTGCTTCCCCAGAGCAGGTGGGTGCTGGGGAGGAGCAGGGTAAGATAGGGGGGCTCCGGTACCCCATGCAGCACGTTCTGCCATCTCAATTGGGAATGGAGGCCCTGCAGGCCTCCTCCACCAGCATTCCCGGTCCAGATGTGCTTGGGGGGCTGTGCAGACTAGGGTTGCCAGAGAGAGGGGGGCGAGGGTTGGGGGTGATGAATTGAGTGGCCTTAGGAGACTGCTAACCTACAGGTCTGCGGTTTGAACCCACCAGCCACTCCTTCCTCAGAAGAAACGTCCCGGCCATTTGTTCCCGTAGAGATTGTTGTTCGGTGCCATTGATTGGGTTTTGACTTACGTTGTCGTTACCATGTCTCATGATGTTGTTTATCGGGCCAGTTGTGAGGATTTTCATTTTCTTTAAGGATGACCTAAAAAGCATCACTTAGAAAACCCTATAAGGCCCTCCTGCTCTGTCTGACAGGGTCGCTGTGAGTTGGCAGTGACCCCTGCAGCCAACAATAGCTTCTGCGTGAAGAGAGCCAAGCAAGCGAGTTCCATTTGAGGGACACTGGAAGGCCTGAATCTCCCAGAGGCCCCCACCTCCCTTAAAAACCATGGCAAGGCAGGCAGCTCACTTCATCCTCTGGTTGGTGCCGGGGCCCTGGTGGTGTCCTGGGTCATACACTGGGCTGTTAACCCCAAGAGCAGGCGGTTCCAGACCACCAGCTGCTCCTGGGGGAGAGATGACCCTTGCTGCTCCCCTAAAGATGGACAGCCTTGAAGGGGCCCACAGGGGCAGTCTGCACCGTCCTGTAGGGCCGCTGGGAGTCAGAATGGACCGGAGGATGGGCGTCTGTTTGTGGAGGCCTTGCCCATATGACCTTGCTGTGTTGCCAACCTCCCACCCCCACCCTATCCTACGTGCCCTGGGGCCCCTGGGAGAGCTGGAACCTCCAGTCAGAGACTTCCAGTGGTGTTATCTCCTTTCTGATCTGGACCCTTTTCTGGGGTGCTCCGATGCCTCCTGAGGTTTAGGAAAAGCAAGCACCCCCAAACTGAATTCACTGCCATCCAGTCCCTCTACCTTATGCCGTTTAGGGTTTGAATGGATAGCTGGGTCGTTAGGAGCCCAAGGTCTTAACTCACTATACCACCAGGGCTCAGAGAGATGGTAGAAAAATGCACCTACAAGCATGGAGGGGAACAAAGGTATCCATTCACCCAGAAGGCAGAGAGGTGTGTGCCATTTAGGAGGGGGGTGGGAAAAGGGGAAGCCAGGTTGTGGGTTCCAAGACCAAAGTCAAGTTCAGAGTCCCAGGGGAGCAGCAAGTGCCCCAGCCCTCCAGAGAGGACAGTCATGCCTGCCATGAGCTCTTGTCCCCATAGACTTATCTTCTGCCACAACAGGTGCCCCCCACCCCCCTGCCTTTCCTCTTTGCCCCGCTTGGGTCCTGCTCTGGGGTGGAGGATCACTGAGGGCAGGTGCCAAACAAACCAGGCTGAGGCTAGGAATCCCCTCCTCCCTCCTGGCCAGCCCACCTCAAACCCACCC